GAAGACGAAGACGACGATGGAGAAGAAATGGAGGAGTGAAAGAGAGCAAGGGGTTTGGGCCAGATGACCTTCCCCAAAACGAAAAACGTTGGGCTAGGGAACTGCCCAGAGATTCTTGTCAAAATGAGGATCAGAATGATCGTAACGAAAACAAGAGGACAATGGTGAAAGTGCTCCTAAACGAACTCGAGGACAACGTTCAGGTTTCTTGCGTTGCTGCTGGTTCTGTCTTTGATCCGAAGGATGGTTTAGCCTTCAGCATGCTGCCCCCTCACGGAGTCCCAGTTTATGGCAGATTCATAGTGTTTTGTGTGGTCAACCGCACTAAGACTGACGTATTTTCATTGGTCAGGCGGTTGGCGCGGTCGATGCTAATAATAAAATAACACACGTACCCATCAGGTAGATGCCGAAAAAAGACCACTGCAATATTTCCCACAAGATGTGTGCCACACCCTGCGCTGACATCCTCTTCGACATCGAAAGTCAAACGTGCAAACGTCCAGCTGCACACGAGCAGTGGTCGGGAACAGAACACTACCACAAACCTACCATGCCAAATGCACCAACGCACGTGCAAGTCCATCACTGATATTCGGTAAACAACGATAGAGACGCACGGCGTACAATGAGGCCCAATATGCTGTCACATGAAAGAACAGTTGCACGTAAATTAGCTGCTGCATTCTTTATGCGGTTGATTTCTTCTTCTTCTTCTTCTTCTTCTTGGAAGAGGGAACGTCGTCGACGGCGGCCACGGCATCCTCGTCCTCCTCTTTCCGTTCCCTCTTCTTTTTCTTTTTCTGCGATGATGGGGTGGACACCTCTGCGATCTCTCCCCCTTCTCTTGCGATCTCTGCAGCTACCTTCTCCATGACCGAGATGTTTTTTCTGGGAGCCTCTCCAGTATCATAGAACTTCAATCGCTCCTCGACCTGTCCAAAGGAGCAGCGACAGTACAAGAGCGTGCGTGATTCAGGGTGTGGTGCACTACGGCTGTCTGGGAGCACGACCAGCCAAATCGCGCCAGAACTCATTCTCCACTGGGAGGCGCCACACACCTGCTCCCGAAGCTCGTCACCGTACTTGGTAGAGGGTTCGTCGCTGAAGCTGTGGTCAAGCAACGAGAAACAAAGGCGAAGATTGCAGTGCGGAAAAGTTTTGTGTGTTACGTCAGAGCTCGTGCCGTAGATAGCACGAGGGAGATCGAAGCGAACGGAGCGAAATGCGAACAACCCACCCGGTACTCTTACACCGAACTTCTGTCGGGCTCAATCGGTTCAACCGTCACGCGTACCTGTCGATTCGACTTGCGATCGCGCACTTGTTGGCGAGCACGCGCGATATTCGCCCCTTGTTCTTCGCGGCGGCACGGCCGATGAAAGTAGAGTGGTAGATGATACCGTACTTGGGGGTGTTCCCCTTGGTCTTAAGAGCCCGGAAGAGCGCCTGGAACGGAAAACAAACACAAATGCAGGGAAGCAGCACAAATGGCTTCACTCAACAGCGCGCCCGTTTCCATTGGCCACGACTGCAGCAGTAATAACTACACGCACCTTCTCTGCGCCCAGGATCTGCACTGTCGATGCCGGGCACTTTGCTAGCGATGTCAACGACCCCGCTTTCGAAATCAGCCGAGCACCAACGGTGTCACCGATCAGCGCTGCCAGATTTGGTGCAACAATCCCCATCTGGGCAAAAAGAACAGCGGCAAGCGGGCAACGGGTCAAATTCGTTGTAGCAGGGCCGCGAATGCACGAGAGGACTCGACCTCCGGATTCACTTTGGTTCATCTCGACTGCCCGGGTGATCATTGAATAGTACTAGTCCGTCTCCTCACCACAACGGCTTGAATGTAGAGCAACTGAGTCGCCGCAGGGTGTGTCGTGAGGAAAAAACACATCTTCCCCCGAGGTCCTCAAGACGAGGGAGCCCGTGGATTTTAAAGCGAATATGAGTTTTTCCCTGGTCAGTCGGTTTGGGAGCTTCACGGGTTTTGAAAAAGACACGGTGATCACGCACGAGGGCGTGTCGGGGTAAAATGGAAGAATACCTTGTCCACCAGGTACGCGTAGAGGTCTCTCCGGTATTCGGCAAGCTTCACCATTCGTTCGCAGAACGTGACGATGTTGGACATATCCACCGGAGAGGCATCCATCCCCATGGAGTGACGCGATGCCTTAAGGATGGCGGCAGCCAGTTCTTCGTCCATGACAATCTCGTTCAGCCCGGGAAGGTTTTCTTCGTCAAATGCAGCGCGGTCCTGAACATGTGAGATGCGGGAAGAACGGTCAAGAGCTTCTACCTGTGTTCAAATATCAACAAGGATTCCAATCCGTAGGCGTGATTCGCCCAGAAGCGGTGGTGTGCAACACGCACCTTGATATATGCAGCACACCGAGCGAACATGTAGTTGTCCTTGACGAGCTCGCGGAGTTCGGGAAAGTGCCAGCAGTACCACTCACGGACCCGCATAGCGAACGTGTTCAGATCTTTGTCGAGTTGATCCAACAAGCAGATGCTTTGGATGATCATATTGTCCGACCTTGCCGGGTTCATCTTCACCTACTCCACACCACCACAGATCGGAAAAAGCAGATGTCAGGGAGAAACACACCAAAGAAATAAACGAGGAGCAAAACATGAACTACAGTACTGAACACAAATGAGTGGACTTCTCAGGTCAAAGTGAAGGATTCGCATCCTCATTCTTGAGTCGGACTTGCAGAATCGATGTTCATCAATGAAGTCCACCGTATGGATCAGATTTGTTGCGCTCAATACAATATCGTGCATCTGCGGTTAGGACTCTTCCGCATTCAGCTCTGTCGGAGAGACAACAATTTGAACGAGCGAGAAACTCCGCTTCCCGCCAGCAAAAAATAGAAACAAACTTTCGAATTTTCAAGAGGCCTTCCCCGTCAACCACTACTGGATGCCAGGGGTTCCCTTCTTTTGGCGTCATCAGAAAAAATGAATAACTGATCAAGCCTCCGTAAGACATCTACATTCCACACCTTCGCTCGCGAGTAGCTGTGGCCGAGCCCCAACTGTGCTTTCTCACCCACCCCGCCGTCAAGCTCTTTCACGAATCTGAGTAACAAATAATCATACACAACAAGTTCAGACAACGCGTCAGGTCAGGTTCATTTCAGGCACATGCGCTGACAACTTTTTTCTTCCACGACGCTCCGTGCCGCTAGACTCACCTACATACTGCGACGGGAAAACTGCTGTAACGAACTTCGCAAACAATAGTAGTAAACGCTTACTTGAGGTGATATTCTTCGGCACGTGAGGTCATGCTGCATCACAAATCGGGTACACCCTCAAAAGATAGCCATAAGACATCTGTGTAGGAAACGCAACGGCCCGCATTCTGCTCGAGTCCCATCCCAGAGAATTGCTTGAGGCCGACCAAACATCTCGCAAGGTCGAACATGTGTGTCATAGAGCAAATCATAGCAACTTGCACAGGGCCTTCCCTTCACATGCCCGCGTTGTGTTCAGTGCAGCAGTGCCGTATGATGCACACACATGAGCATTCAAGGAACATCGGGTCTCCTCACCGGTGAAAGTGAACCCTGATTCCTCTTATGATTTCCTTGACGGTCTCATCGGAGCGGCATGGAAAACCGAGACGATCCTGGATGGCGCTGGCGAGTCCGGGCTCTATGCAGCCCAGCTGGAAGGACGCTGACTTAGACTTCTTCACCTTCGGCAGGTTCATTTCGAGGAAGTTCTGCGACACGACGCGGCAGAGGGCTCGAGGTCAACACACCACTAGCAATCTATACTGTGTTTGTACCTATGACAAATTTACGGCGCTTGGTCACAGCGCCGCGTTGCTTCGGGCAACGCGTTCACCCCAGAGACGTACCAACTTCATGTTTTCTTGCGTACCGTACCGCCATTTGGTGAGCAAAAACCTACGAAGCAGCGTCGTGAGTGTCCCTTGTTCGGCAACCGGACGCACGACGTTTAAAACCTACTTAAGCTTTCGTGAAGAATATTATCCGGGGCAACGGACATGAGCTCGGAACTGGTGCTGATGCTACTGCTGCTTGCTGTCTTCTCGCACCTTACAAATTAGCCCAAAATGTGCTGACGACTCTGCTTTAACGGAAGTCTCAGACATACAAAGAAAGAGGCGTGAGTTTGAACTTTATTTTGACGACCCACACTCACCGATTGCACCCACAACCAACTATGACTAATGACATCAGTAAACCCACCGGCATGTATACAGTCCTCGAAACCTGTGCAAACGGTGACACCTTCGCGTGGAGATGAAAGGCTGGGAGTTGCGCTTCGACCGCCCCAAATACACGAGGAACAGACATTTTCTTCTATGAGGTCCGAGCAAATTGCACAACCGACATCCACTAATCACCTACAAAATTGGCTGAAACTTGCGTGGTTGGCCAATGAACACTCGTGTTCATGTTGCCATGTCGTGGCCTCCTCACCTTGAGATCATCCGTCACAATCTGCTCGCTGATTGCGTTGACGTTCTCGAGGGCGTTTTCTGCTGTTGTGAATGGCTGGAACCCCTTCAGCTTCACCGTTCGGCAGAAGCGCTGCGGATCCAACACTGCTTGCTGCACCTCCTCCAGCAAGCTGCCTACTTCTTCCGCTTCGATCACCTCCAGCAGGGCATAACCCGACGCCGATTCGTACAGGACGAAGAACGACTGGATACGGCAAGCGCAGGTGCACGGAGCAAAAGATCAACAAGGTTGATGCGGATAATGCACACAAGCTAGCTGGTGGCAGATGTCACGAGACGACCCATTCTGAATCAAGTTCCACGAGACTTACCATGCTTACAGAAGTGGATGCTGCTGCAGCCCCACACACACGTTGTGGGAGCGGTAACCAGTCACCACACCCACCACACAAGCGCACACCTCGCGGGGTTCCGCACAATGTTCTTAATGGCCACCCCCCGGTGGCACCGCGATGCACGGCAAGCACGTGCCAGGCGCCACAGCACGGTAGTACGCATACATTGCTCCATCATTTCGTGTGTTGAACAGCAACGCGTTGAACGAGAACAATCGACGTGATGAAGACATGCAACGCCCAGCTTCTACTGCAAAGGTTGCCAAGGTATGAAATACTGTTGCAGCGTACACGTTCTGGACATACAGCAGTGAACATTTTTTTCTTTTTTTCAAATGTGCAAGCCCGCGACCACTCGCAGGCTCGCAGGACCCGCATATGCGATTCACACGGCAATAGATAATCTCAGCGTGCAGCCTAGAAAAATCTATCTGGGAAGAGCTGAAAGCAGACTCGTACACGGGGCGATCGCTCCTCCACGTCAAACACCCTGGAACATTGTAGCAGACATACACACAGAACAGGCTCGATATAAACGCCAAAACTGGGTCGAGCCTCAATTCCATATTTGGGTCGAAGGACCAGGCGAAGTCATCAATTTTCTTGAAATGGATTTCTTCTGTTTGGGGCTGTCGCGTCCTGCTGACTGCCTTATGTTCATTTTTTTTGGGCAAATCACAGCTCGTTTCGATCTTTGAGGACAACAACTTCAAGCCCTCTAGGTAGGCGGCGTGCTTTCAACCCCGTTCAGAAGACAGCATGTCTCGGGCCACGACGTGTGGCACTATGGAAGCGGGAAGCGTAACCCGCGGCGGTGCTGCATGGCTGGCGTGCGGGGGGGGCGCTGCGAAAATAATCACTCTAGCCCCCCTAGGACATAGATTGCACCACACCTCTACGGGGTGGTGGCAACTTGAGGAGAAGCGAGACGTTCTTATTGGGCACAATCCCAGCTACCCTTTGTTTCTTATCTTGAGGGTGTCGCACGATCCTCTTTCTGATTTGGAATGTCCCTTACGTTGTAGCTGAAACTCAGTCGTAGAGCTGTGCAATGAAATCCATTTGCGATATTACTACTACTGTAGGATGCAAATGTACACATGCGCTGCTGCCGAAAACGGAGAATTGGATAATTGAAAAACGTTTAGTAGGTACACATACACTGCCGTCGAAGACGGACAAATGTACATTTGGGGACGTTCATTTTCGTGCAGACACCCTGTTTGCGGACGGTGATGTGACCAAGTAAGATTTGGTCGTGATGTGCTTAAGGCGTCAGCGGAAAACGACCGGCCGCTACAAGCACAGCAGTCGCGGTATGCATTAAGGAGAAATAAATACACGCACAGAAAGACTACCCATTCGAGATATACCCACAGGTATGCATGTAACTACCTACTACCATACCACAAGGAGAATAAATACACAAAAGACTAACCGTTCGAGATATACCTAGATTCGAACGGGATGTGGTGGAGTATTTTCAGTGAGTGGAGAAAAACCGGCTGGGTACTGGACTTATTTCGAGTCCATCTAAGTCTATACACTGATGATTTATCTCAGTGACACCAGCTGGTGCTAAGTACAAAAACATCTGTAAAGGTAGCCTACATTTTGCAATACATTCCCTGTAGTTCTCTGCTGGGTCAACGGCAAAAATATCTAAGCGATCGTCGATTGCGTGAATGGCGTGTGCCGTGCGGTGCCACCGCCTACAACCATGCTCTCCTCATCTCTACTTTGACGGGACGAACGTAGTGCTTGAACATATCACAGACATGGGGCTTGAAACGATGGATTTACTACATGTAGATGCGTGCTCAGCATTGTTGACGGTGCGGTGTAAATGCCCACCTGCGAGTAGGCTTTTGCTCGATAGGCGACCTTTTTCTTTTTTTCCCGGCGTTTGCCTTTTTTTTTTTCGGCGAAAAAAATTGGTGATCGGCTTTTGTTTTCGGCGACGTTCGGCGACTGCATATCGCTTCTCGGTGAATCGTGTTTCACTTTCGGCGATTTTTTTCGGCTGGTATCTTTCGCGATTTACTTCATCTGAGCGACTTTCGCGACATATGCATGTACTTCTAGTAACACAAACGAGCTGGTCGCGAGGCTGGTCGACTGCTGCGGAGATCACCTGTCGGCGATAGGCGAAATAATGTGTCCTTTTCATATTTTTCTACTGCCATGATGCTTGACTCTACACTCTACTGCCATGATGCTTGACATGACAACACTACAACACTAAACATGCAATACTCCGAACCCTCAGAATTCGAACAAATAATGAAATACGATACGATGGACTTCGAAGTTACGAAGTTACGAACCGCACCACCACCGCACACCGCACGCCCGCCCTACGTGCGGGAAAAAAACTGTAAATCTCGACAGGTTCTGACCCACCTACGACGTAAGACATCTACATGATAAATTAACTGAAACACTGAAACACAGGTCGTCAGTCGCTGTCTTCATCGCTGCTGTCATCGCTTTCTTCGTCGCTACCGCCGCCGTTGTTGGCATCTTCGGCGCCACCCCCCATCTCTGCTGAGCTACTCTGGGC